TGTCTGTTGGCCATCTGCATAACTCTTGGGAAAATGTCTGTCCAGATTCTTTGCCCATTTTTAATTAGATTATTTGGTTTTTTGATATTGAGTTCTATGAGTTCTTTACACATTTTGGATATTAACTCCTTGTCAGATGTATAATTTGTAAATATCCTCTCCCATTCAGTAGGTTACCTTTTCATTTTGTTGATGGTTTCCTTGCTATACCAAAGCTTTTTAGTTTGATGTAGTCCCATTTATTTATTTTTGCTTTGGTTTCCTTTGCCTGAGGAGACAAATCAAAAAAAATTTTTTTTTTACTAAGACTGGTGTCAAAGTTTTCCACCTGTGTTTTCTTCTAGTTTTATGGTTTCCGGTCTTACATTTGAGTATTGAGTCCATCTTGAGTTTAATTTTGTATATGGTGTGAGAAAACAGTCCAGTTTCATTCTTTTGCATGTAGCTCTCTAGTTTTCCCAACACAATTTATTGAAGAGGCTGTCTTCTCCCCATTATGAATTCTTACCTCCATTGTCTTAGATGAATTGACCATATAAGTGTGGGTTTATGTCTCAGTTCTCTGTTCTGTTACATTGATCTACATGTCTTTTTCTTGTCCCAGTTCCACGCTGTTTTGATTACACAACTTTGTAGGGTACTTGACTCTTGAACAATTCTTGGGTTGTGGTGCCTACCATACTCATAATCAGAAATCCACATAGAACTTTACAGTCAGCCTTCCTTATCCATAGTCCCACATCTGCAGATTCAAACAACCGTGTATTTTATAGTACAGCGGAAAATATGTATTGAAAAATACCTGCATATAAGTGGCCCCATGTAGTTCAAACTCATGTTATTTAAGGGTCAACTGTAGTTTGAAGTCAGAGGGTGTGATACCTCAAGTTTTGTTCTTTCTCAGGATTGCTTTGGCAACTAGGAGTCTTGTGGTTCCATATAAATTTTAGGGTTATTTGCTCTGTTTCTGTGAAAAATGCCATTGGTATTTTGATAGGAATTGCATTGAATCTGTAGGTTATTTTCCTGTAGACATTTTGACACTCTTCTTTCAGTCCATGAGCATGGTGTATCTTTCCATTTATTTGTGTTGTCTTTGATTTTATTCATTGAGGATCTTATAGTTTTCAGAGTACAGGTCTTTCACCTCTTTGGTTAAATGTATTCCTAGGTTTTTTATTATGTTTGATGCAATTGTAAATGAGGTTTTTTTTTTAAATTTCTCTTTCTGATAGATCATTTTGAGTGTATAGAAATGCCGAAGACTTCTGCATATTAATTTCATATCCTATAAATTTTAGTTAATATTTACTGAGTTAGTTAATATTTACTGAATATTTACTGAATTTGTTCTGTTAGTTTTATGGTAGTGTCTTTAGGATTCTATATATAGTATCGTGCCATCTGCATACAGTGACAGTTTACTTCTTCCTCTCCAGGTTAGATTCCTTTTGCTCCTTTTTCTTGTCTGATTGCCATGGCTAGCACTTCCAATAGTATGTTAATTAAAATTATCAAGAGTGGGCATCCTTGTCTTATTCCTGATCTTAGAGGAAATGGTTTCAGCTTTTCAATGTTGAGTATGTCAGTTGTGAGTTTATTATATACGGCCTTTACTATGTTAAGGCATATTCTTCTTTACAGCCACCTACCTTGTGAGGAGGTTCTTTTAGTCATAAATGAGTGTTGAATTTTCTCAAAAAAAGCTTTCTCTACATCTGTTGAGATGATCTTAATACTTTTTATCTTATGCTTTTTGTTTTGTTAATGTGGTGTATCACATTGATTTGTGGATATTGAACTATCCTTGCATCCCTGAGATAAATCCCACTTGCTCATGGTGTATGATCCTTTTGATATATTGTTGAATTCGGTTTGCTCATATTTTGTTGAGGATTTTTGCATCTGTAATATTGGCCTCCAATTTTGTTTGTGTGGTGTCTTTGTCAAGTTTTGGTATCAGGGTGATGCTGGCTTTGTAAAGTGAGTTTAGAAATAGTTCCTTCCTCTTATATATTTTGGAATAATTTTGAGAAGGATACATATTAACTCTTCTTTAAGTGTTTGCTAAAATTCACCTGTGAAGCCATCTGATCCTGAACCTTTGTTGGGAGTGTTTTGATTACTGCTTCATTTTCATTACTGGTGGTTAGTCTTTTTGTATTTTCTATTTCTTCCTTATTTACTTTTGAAAGATAGTATATTTGTGGGAATTTATCATTTTCCTCTAGGTTGTCCAATAGTTTGACATATAATTGTTCATAGTAATCTCTTATGATCCTTTGTATTTCTGTGGTGAGTTGTAATTTCTGTTTCATTTTTCATTTTATTCATTTGGGCCCTTTGGTTTTTGTTCGTTTTCTTGATGAATCTGGCTAAAGATTTGTCAGTTTTGTTTATCTTTTCAAAGGACAAGCTCATAGTTTCATCTGTCTTTTTTATTAGTCTCATATTTCATTTATTTTTGCTTTGATCTTATAATTTTCTTCCTTCTAGTAACTTTGGGTTTTGTTTGTTCCTAGTTTGGGGGGTCCTTTAGGTGTAATGTTAGATTATTTGAGATTTTTCTTGTTTCCTGAGATAGACCTGTGTCATTATAAATTTTCCTCTTAGAACTGTTTTTGCAGCATTCCATAGATTTTATCTCAAAGTATTTTTTCGTTTTTCTGTTTGATTTCTTGAATGACCCATTGATTATTTAGAAGCATGTTGTTTATACTCCACGTTTGTGTTTTTTTCTTTTTTCTTTTTAGTTAATTTCTTTGTTTTAAAATTTTATTTATTTCTTTATTTATTGGGGGCGGGAATTAGGTTTATTTATTACTTTATTTATTTTTAATGGAGGTACTGGGCACTAAATGCAGGACCTTGTGCATGCTAAGCATGCACTCTACCACTGAGCTAATAACCCTCCCCACTTTTTTAATTAATTTCTAGTCTCATATCATTGTGATCAGGAAAGATGCTTAATATGATTTCAGTTTTCTTAAACTTATTGAGGTTTGTTTTGTGGCTAACATGATATATCTATCAAGTCCATCTGGCTTAATATGTCATTTAAGGCCAATGTTTCCTTATTGATTTTGTGTCTGGATGATCTATCCATTGATGTAAATGAGGTGTTAAAGTCCTCTCCTATTATTGTGTTATTGTCACTTTCTCCTTTTATGTCTGTTAACATTGCTTTATATATTTATGTGCTCCTATGTAGGATACATACATATACACAAGTATTTCATCTTCTTGTTGGATTGATCCTTTTATCATTATGCAAGCCTTCTTTGTCTCTGTTTTAAAGTCTGTTTGATCTAAGTGTTGCTACCCCAGCTTTCTTTTTGTTTCCATTTGAATGGAATATCTTTTTCCTTCCCCTTACTTTCAGTCTGTGTGTATCTTTAGATCTGAAGTGAGTCTCTGGTAGGCAGTATATATATGCCTTATTATATAGGCTCTTATTTTGGTATCCATTCATCCACCATGTCTTTTGATTGGAGCATTTAATCTATTTACATGTAATTATTATAGGTACGTACTTATTACTATTTTGTTATTGTTTTCTGGTAGTTCTTGCTGCTCTTGTCTGCTTCTTTTGCTTTCTTCCCTTGTGATTTGGTGGCTGTTTTTAGTGTTATGTTTGCATTTCTTTCTCTTGTATGTGTTTGTGTGTGTTATTGGTTTTTGGTTTGTGGTTACCATGAGGTTATTATATAACAACTTAATATATGTAGCAGTGTATTTTAAGTTGATGGTTGCTTTAGTTTGACTGCATTCTAAAAGTACAGTTTTTACTCCTCCGCCACCTCACCTTTTATGTTTTTGACATAATATTTTACTTTAAAAAATGTTTATACATTCTTTAATAATTGTAGGTTATATGATTTTACTACTTTTGTCTTTTAACCTTCATACTAGCTATATAGGTGGTAGATTCACTACCTTTACTGTATGTTTGCCTTTACCGTGAGGTTTTTTCCCAGAATTTTCATATTTCTAGTTACAACCTTTTCTTTTGTGTTTAAAGAAGTCCTTTTAATATTTATTTTAAGTTCAGTTTAGTGTTGATGAACTCCTTTAGCTTTTGCTTGTCTGGGAACTCTTTATTTCTCCTTTAATTCTGAAGGATAATCTTGTTGGATAGAATATTCTTGGTTGTAAATTTTTTCCTTTTATCATTTTGAATATGTCATGACCACTCCCTTCTGGCCTTTGAGGTTTCTGCCAAAAGCCAGCTAACAGTCTTAATGGGGGTTCCTCTATATGTAACTATTTGTTTTTCTGTTGCAGCTTTTAATATTCTCTCTTCATCTTTAACTTTTTGATGTTTTAATTATAATGTGTCCTGGTGTGGGTTTCTTTGGATTTATCTTGTTTGAGACTCTCTGTGTTTCCTGAACTTGGATGTCTGTTTACTTAGCCAGGTGAGGGAGGTTTTCCACCATTATTTTTTCAGATAGATTTTCTTTTTCTTTTTCTTTTTCTCTCTCTTCTGGGATCCCTATAATGCAAATGTTAGCATGCTTGATGTCCCCAGAGGTCTTTTAAACTAGCCACATTTTTTTTATTTCTTCCTACTTTTTGCTCCTCTAATTGGGTGATTTACACTACCCCCTTTTCCAGGTCACTTATCTATTCTTCTGCATCATCTAATCTGCTGTTGATTCCCTCTTGTGTATTTTTCATTTCAGTTACTGTATTCTTCATCTCTGATTAATTCTTTTAATATTTTGTATCTCTTTGTTAAAGTTCTCAGTGTTCCTCTATTCTTCTCTTGAATTCAGTTAATATATTTTTATATGGTTGAAATTACCCATAATTTTTTGATTTTTTAATTTATTGAAGTGTAGTTCATTTACAGTGTTTCAAGTATACAGCAAAGTGATTATTTTGTACACATACATTTTTGTTCAGATTCTTTCCCATTGTGGGTTATTATAGATACTGAATATAGTTCCCTGTGCTATACAGTAGGCCCTTGTTGTTTATCTCTTTTATATATAGTAGTGTGTAGGGTTATTATCTTTATGACCATTATTTTGCACAGTGGCCATGCTAATCTTCTCTGTATTGTTCCCAGTTTTAGTATATATGTTGCTGAAGCAAGCACTATGACCATTATTTTGAACTCTTTATCTTGTAGATTGCCTATCTTTGTTTTGTTTAGTTCTCTTATTTTGATATTTTTGTCTTATTCTTTCTTTTGGAACATACTCCTTTTTCTCCTCAATTTTTCTAGCTCTCTGTGTTTGTTTCTTTGTATTAGATAGATCAGCTACATCTCCCAGTCTAAAAGGCCTGGCTTCATGTAGAAACTATCCTATAAGGCCCAGTAGTGTGGGTCCCCTGGTGGACAAAGCCAGGTACTCCTGGAGTGTCACCTGTGTGGGCTGCATGCACCCTCCTGTTGTGACTGGGCCATGATGGCTGTGGCTGTGGTAGTGTGCAAGGCTGGCCCTGACACAGCTGACTGTAATGACTAACCATGACTGTTGTGGGTGCTCTGGTGTGTGGGACTGTTTTGGAGGGGCTCCAGTGCCAGTTGAGGGAGTCTGCTGGCAGTAGTGGGATGGGTGGGGGATGCTTTGGGCTCCAGTACTAGCTGAAGCCACTTGCTGGGTATGATGGGGTGGAGAGTTGCTTTGGAGGAGCACCAGCTGGGGTGGATTTGCAGGTGAACTGAGATAAAATGGGGAGAGTCATAAACAGTGCCTGCCAGCACCAGACTTGCTAGGTAGAAGGTGAGCAAAAAACATGTTCACCAGTGTCTGCACAACCAGAGGAAATTCTAAAAGATCCCTGCCTGTCCTGCATACAACCTAGACTCAGTTACTGAATCTCCTTCATGTCTGACCCAGGCCTTTTCAGAGTCCTGCTTCTGTAGTGGGACTTGGAGCAAGACAGTTTTTCGTGCACACTTTAAGAGTGGAGTTTTGGTTTCCTGCAGCTCTCTGGACGTAAGCCCCGCTGGTTTTCAAAGCCAAGTGTTACGAGGCTCTTCTTTCTGGTGCGAGGAGCACATCCAGCTCCTCAGGAGGATGCCTGCAGCTGTGCCCCGTCCCGCCTGTGCATCACTGCACCCGAGGCGTGGTCCTGGCCAGAGAGGATCTCTGCCCCTCATACCCATCTCAGTGGGGCCTTTTCTTTTTATCCTTAGTTGTGGAAAATCTTTTCTGCCAGTCTTCAAGTCTTTCCCAGAGATAGTCTCTCTATGTGTAGTTACAGTTTGGGTGTCTGTGTGTCAGGAGATGAGCCCAAGATCTTCCTACTCTGCCATCTTGTCCCCTCTCTGGTAAGATTTCTGTTTGAAGTCTTGTTAGTATTCAAATAGACACTTATCACAAGAGTAATTGCAAATTCTAGACATGGAATTGTGTATCTTTAGTTTAACATGTAAATATGTTTGTTTATTGTCAGGGCCGGGTTAAAGGTTTGACTCAAAATTGGAGGAATCACTTGCTCTTCAGTGTGCTTTTATAGGCTTTTAAATTAGAAATTCTGATTTAATTGGTATAGGTTATAGCCCAGGTAACCTGCATTTAAAAACTTCCCGGGGAATTTAAATGTACAACCAGGGTTGAAAATCATGGATTTTGAGGCAACAGATGCATGAATTACTAGTTAAAAGAAACCTGCATAACTGTTAAATCTCCTGTTTCTAAATCTTTTTTCTTTTTTGACTAGAGCACCTCTTTTTAGTTAATATTGTCCAATTCTGAAAGAATTTAAATGTGACCTAGAGTATATTCTTTTGTACCCAGTAGAATAATGTCAGCAGTGACAATTTTATTAGAAATGATCTTGTATTCCAAAAAATAGCATATTAAATGAGAGTTTGTTTTTAATGTTTAAAAAGTTAATATTGTTTTATGGAAACAGAAATTAAATTTATTAATTTTGACCAAAATTATAAGTTCTGAAATTACCAAAGTCAAGTTGTTAACTTCCTTGGGGGTAAGAGTGAAATATATATTTTGAAGAGGAGATTTTTAAATTACTGAAACTAGAATCTGTAAAGAATAATTGTGATGTTCATCTTTGTGTTAACTTTTTTCTCAGTTGCTCCTTCACTTTAGAAAATACTAAGATTATCTCGGTATTTCAACACATGTCTGTGTCCCATTTCCTTTGTTTTGTTCATATGTAGCCCACTCTGTGCTCTTAATTGATATTAATTCAGGGAGGGAGAGGCAATGAGGTAAATATTTCCCTGTTCTCTGATGAGATGCTTGACAAGATTGGTGATAATTCAGCTTCTTTTCTGAGTAACTAGCAAAGTCTTTCTATTTAGGTAACCTCTAAATGGAAAACTGAGTGAATTCTGTTTAAGTAATAACTAACACAGGAAACTGGGGAAAGTTCTGGATCAGTCGTTAAAAGCAGCTGTAAAAAAAGAAAAAAGCCTTTTTCCCCAGGTTCTCAGATCCGCCTTCTATTCTCTTGAAGATTGAATGGATAAAGTGGGAAAGAAAGAGCCCACCTTCCATGTCTTCACCCCAGCTTCTTTCTGACAACCCTTGGCCTCTGCAAAATTCTGTTGGTAAAAAAGGGTTTGCTCTTTCTTTATCAAATGATCAACTTTACTGAGAATTTCTTTTCTCAGCAGAGATTTCATTTCTCATAATACTGTAAGAGATGAAAGAGTCTTAAATGTCCAGTGGACAGTGGTACCCCACAGGAGAAATATTTTCAGATAAAAAGGTGACAATTTCTATCTTGATCTTCTACTGTAGGAGAAGAAAGAGCACTTGAAACCCACCCCTACCCCCACCCCTGCCCTTTATCTTGCTATGGCTTAAGAACTCCATGCCTAATAAATTCTCTCAAAAAAGTCAGGTTCAAAATTGAGACACACTCTCAAGCATTATGCTTTTTGTCATGCTGCTCCCACTTTGGTGAGGAGGGCAACGTAAATTTTACAGGACAAGGACTTTCTTTTGGTTTTGTTTTATTAACCTAGCACTAATCTAGCATGTCCTTGGGTCTCAGTAAATATTTGTTGAATGAGTGAGTAAGTGAAAGGAAGGGGGAGGGAGTGACAGTTCTAACTGAAAGCAAAGCTCATTAGGTATCTTAAGATTTGAAGAAAAGACTCTTCTAATGTTTTGATGACTATTTTCCATCTCAAGATAAACTAACTGTTGGCAAGAGGAAACGAAATGAAGATGATGAGGTTCCAGTGGGTGTGGAGATGGCAGAGAACACTGACAACCCACTAAGATGCCCAGTACGACTTTATGAGTTTTACCTGTCAAAATGGTAAGTGATTTTCCTCTGAACTAGATATAACATCCTTCAAAAAGTGGTCAACATATTTTAGATTTCAGATGCTTGAATATCAGAAATGTAGCTGTCTGTGAGTTTAAACAAGGATTTACATCTAATTTCATTTTCCCCCAGTCTTATAACTGCCTGAATTTTGAACCAAGAAACAAATTGATTTATCTTAATAAACTTTTTTTCCAAAAATCTCTTCAAAAGCAAGAATTACTGCCATCGTTTGATCTTTACAACTGTTGCTCAATCTTGTGTTATATCCAAGCTTCTGTGATTTTATTATTTATAGAGAGAAGAGGAGGAGAAATTGTACTGCTAAACCTATAAATAGGAGAATTGCATAAAGAATTGAAATTTTTGAGTGGTGTTTTTTTACAGAAACCTTATGACTTTAGAGTTGTAAGATCCAGACTAACCTACTTTTTCCTCAGAAATTTAATGACTAGGTTTGCTCTTTGATAATGTGTACTGAGTGCTCTTGGAGCTCATTCCAGGATACTGGGTGCTCAGCCATCGTGTCACGTGTTAGTTGAATTTTTGGTTGCTCCTGGTAAGTTTTAAGTACTAAAGTTTGTGAAAGATTTACATTTTGTCGTCTATTAACATTATACTCACTTCCAATCCAGTGTGATTCTTGAGTGTAGGAGAAGAAATGTGGAGTTACAGGTTGCTCCTGGGGGAAAATGCCTATAAGCTTACTTATCTCTGTGGGTAGATTGTTTATAATATTCGTCACAGTACAGAAAAGTTGAGAGCCATTATATTTAGAGTAGCTACATATTTCCTATACTCTCTGATCCCCAATTTTCTTGCTTTTTTTCCTTCTTATTTTTTTCCCTATGGATAGTTCTGAAAGTGTGAAGCAGAGGAATGATGTGTTTTACCTTCAACCTGAGCGCTCCTGTGTTCCAAATAGCCCCATGTGGTACTCCACATTCCCGATAGACCCTGGGACCCTGGACACCATGTTAACACGTATCCTCATGGTGAGGGAGGTACATGAAGAACTTGCCAAAGCCAAATCAGAAGACTCTGATGTTGAATTATCAGATTAAAGTGGAAGTGGGGTTCCTATTTTCATACACGTTGGTATGCACCAAACTGTGAATGCATCCAGCTTTGGAAAACGATCTATTAAGTCCAAGTCCTCTTGACTTGATTATAAGATAATGGAAAACAGACAACTCGTGAACCACAGTGTGGATGTACAAATGAAAATTGAAGGAAAGAATATGAACTGAGAAATGTTGTCCTTTGGCAGTGATATAGTTCTTAGACATCTTCAGAATGACTAACCAATTCTTCTGAGTGGTGCATAATCTTATTTTGTTTGGGAATAACAAATTGTGGAATATTTTTAAGGAAAACTGTTGTATAAAACTCTACCATAGTAACCTTAGACCTTAGAGAGGTAGCTTTGGAGTGAAACCTTGGCTGCAATAGGCTACTTGGGCAAGCCCCATGTAAAAGTCAGGAGAGAGATTAGTGCAGACCTAAGAGTGACATCAGATGAGAGCTGTGGGACCCAGACTTGAAGACCCAATAAAAATACTCAACTTTTTTTTAAAAGGTAGAGAGTGAAGTGGTCTTGATTTTGATTTTCACTGCCAAGCCAGTTCTGTGAAGGGTAGAAGCCTCTGGTGCTTTTGCCATGGGGCCCCTCGTGTCAGGGAAAAAGGCCTTCACTGCTGTTCACACAGTAATGTATCCCTTTCACTTTCTGGGTCTAGCCTTCTCAGCTGTGGCTCTGGATGTGGGTAAATTAAGTTAAAGGGGCTGAAACTGCAAAAATGATCATGCACACAGAAAACCTCTGGAGCCCATTAGACCCCA